GGAGATGTCCCTGCCCAGGGCAGAAGGCTGGCAATGGATGATTCCTAAACTCCATCCCAAGCCCTTCACACCCTCTGAATTTACCCCCATGCACCTGCTCAGAGTCCTCCCATGGAGCAGTGAGACTCCCCCAGGCCCACCTTGTCGTTGTGTTGGCCTCCAATCTCTTTCCTCTTCTTGTTTCTCGTGGTTGGCTGCATCTTGGGGGGCTCATCCTCCTCCTCCACATCTGGCAAAGACACCTCTTCAAACCCATCAAACTACAGAACAACACAACAACTGCTCTCAGCATACCAAGCTCTGGTTTCTCCCAAGGATTTCTGAGTTTTGGGGATGCCCCAAGGAGGCTGTGGATGCCCCAACCCTGTTACTGTTCATTCCAGGTTGGCTAAAGCCTTGAACAACCTGCTCTGGTAGGAGATGTCCCTGCCCAGGGCAGAGGGTTGACACTGGACGACCTCTAAGCTCCATCCCAACCCCTTCACACACTGATATTGGGACATCAGCAGCTCTCCCACCCCACTGCTTCCCTCCCTCTGGAATTATGGCCTCTATTGGAGTTCTTCCAGTTCAAACATGTCTCTTATCTCAGCTTTTATCTTTTCTGGCCTTAAGGAGAAGATTTCCCACCTCATATTCCTTCTCTTCAGTCCAGTTGATCTCCTCAAAGTCACCCATGCGACTGGCTGAGGGACGCAGGTGATCAAAGAACACAGAGAACTCATCCTGTAGGTGGTCGTGTCCCTTCAGCAGCTGCCACATCTGGGTCTTCAGCTGGAAAAGAAATCCACTGTCTCATCCCACATCTCCACATTCCACCCTGAAGGATTTCCCAAAGCAAGTGGAGTAGCAAAGCTTGTTCGACCTCCAGCATGGAAGTTTGTGCTCCCATGGGTTCTCCTGCCTGGGTATTTGGAGATCATTCCTCAAATTAACATGGAAATACAATCCCTCCAGAATTCTCTGCAGGACCCACTGAGCTCAAATCTCACCTGTGAGGTGATAAAAGGAAGGTGGAGGGGGAAATAGGAGACTCACAGGGCAATTCACTGTGCAGCCCCTTGAGGAGGCAACTCCAAGCCTTGAATCCAAGGTCAGGATGGGGCTTGGAGCAACCTCTGCTAGTGGGAAGTGTGCCTGGGCTAGTGGAAGGTGTCCCTGCCCAGGGCAGGGGGTAGGAAGGGACCATCTTTAAGGTCTTTCCAACCCAACCCATTCCAGGATTCCATGTGCTGGTTTAGATGGGATATTTGGGAGAAATTCTTCTCTGTGAGATGCTGAGGCACTGGATTTCCCAGCCCAGAGAAGCTGTGGCTGCTCCATCCTTGGAAGTGTTCCAGACCAGGCTGGCTGGAGCTTGGAGCAACCTGGGCTAGTAGGTGTCCCTGCCCATGGCAGGGGTGGAATGAGCTATCTTTAAGCTCCTTCCAACCCAAACCAGTCTGAACTTCTATGGGCTGAGATGTTTCCCCATGAGGGACAACATGCTCAGCAAACTGTTGGAGGGGGAAATAGGAGACTCACAGGGCAATTCACTGTGCAGCCCCTTGAGGAGGCAACTCCAAGCCTTGAATCCAAGGTCAGGATGGGGCTTGGAGCAACCTCTGCTAGTGGGAAGTGTGCCTGGGCTAGTGGAAGGTGTCCCTGCCCAGGGCAGGGGGTAGGAAGGGACCATCTTTAAGGTCTTTCCAACCCAACCCATTCCAGGATTCCATGTGCTGGTTTAGATGGGATATTTGGGAGAAATTCTTCTCTGTGAGATGCTGAGGCACTGGAATAGATTTCCCAGAGAAGCTGTGGCTGCTCCATCCTTGGAAGTGTTCCAGACCAGGCTGGCTGGAGCTTGGAGCAACCTGGGCTAGTAGGTGTCCCTGCCCATGGCAGGGGTGGAATGAGCTATCTTTAAGCTCCTTCCAACCCAAACCAGTCTGAACTTCTATGGGCTGAGATGTTTCCCCATGAGGGACAACATGCTCAGCAAACTCCTGTGGTCTCCAGGAGCAGCACACAGGGACAGGAATTCAGGCTGGCAAACTGCACCCTCAGGGGGTTGAGAGCAAGGGGGGGCCTGGTTACCTCTGCAATCTCCTGGGGCAGACAGTCTGCACAGCTCTGCAGGACTTTGATGATCTTCTGGTGGTGAGCAGGGTTCTCGGCGAAGCAGATCTCCAGCTGCCGCAGGAACTTGCGGCTCTTGTCGAAGGCTTGCTGCTCCTCAAACTGCCCAGGAGAGAAACATCCCCCCTCTTATTCCCAACCATCCCAAACTGCCTTAAAAAAACTAGAAAATTCCTGCCTTGGTCTTTTTTTTCATTGTATTGATGCCCTTTGCAACTGGGAAGAGAAGGAAGAGAAATACTTTGTATGTTCAATCCTTCTGTGAGCTATCAAGTTTGGCTTCGACCCTATGCACATGAGCGAGGGAAAAGAAAGAGAAATCCAGGAAGAGGTGAAAAATAAATCTGTGTCTCACAGAGTGAAAGCTGATGGGAACACAAGGGAACCACTCTATGCTGACTCGTCCCTGAAGTCAGACCCCACCACGGAACTGGGAAAGGCTAATTAACCCTCCAGAGCAACACTGAGCACGAAACTTCAACATCAAACTGTTCCCTCTGATTAGCAAGACAAGCAAGTACTTTACCAGCCCTTTCTCTCTCCTGCCCCAGGAAGAACTTTTTATCCTGCCTTTATCACTGCGACAAGCAATCGTGGGCTCCTCCCTCCTACCTACCAATCCACACTCCAAGGCTTGCTCAGGTAACAGGAAGGCAGCAAAGTCTGTGAGCAGCTGTGGCCAGTCGTGCAGCAGCTTCTGCAGGGTGGAGTAGAGATCCACAGCTGTTCTCTTGTCTGTGCTGATCTCAAACTCGTAGATGACACGGAGAAAGTCTTCGTATTTCCCAGGAATGTGCTGCAGGGTCTCACGGACCTGGAAGGGGCAACAGGACCATGTAACATCCAGGTTCAGCACAGAAGGGTTTGGGTTGGAAGTGACCTTAAAGATCAGCTCATCCCATTCCTGCCCTGGGCAGGGACATCTCCCACCAGCCCAGGTTGCTCCACACCCTGTCCAGCCTGGCCTTGAACAGGGTTGGGGCATCCACAGCCTCCCTGGGCAACCTGTGCCAATGTCTCACCACCCTCACAGGGAAAAACTTCTTCCTAATTCTACTCCTTCAGTCTATCCCCACTCCTCCTTGTCCTGTCCCTGCAGATCCTACCCAGGTCCCTCTGCAGCTTCCCTGGAGCCCCTTCAGATCCTGAAAGGTGCTCTGATGTCTCCACACAACCTTCTCCTCTCCAGGCTGAACAGTCCCAACTCTCTCCACAGGGAAGTTACTCGAATCCTCTACTCAGCTCTGTGGCCTCCTCTGCACTTGCTCCAACAGTTCATGCCCATGCTGGGGACACCAAACTGTGCAGTGTTCCAGGCTGGGTCTCAGCAGAGCAGAGCAGAGGGGGAGAATCCCCTCTCTCAACCCCTGTCTCTGGGTTCCACCCTGTGCTGCCTTACCCTGGTCAGATAAGCTTGGGCAAAGGCCAAATCCTTCTGCTCCCTCAGGGGATCTCTCTCCAGGATGTCTTCATCATACAGCAGCAGCAGCTTCGAGGTGTCCTTGCTGGCACGAGCTCGACCCCTCTTATTCCTGGTCCTGTGGGAGCTCCTGCTCTTCCCAGGAGCTTTCAGGTTCTCTCCTGGGAGGAAGCACAAGGTGAGCTGGTGGCACAGGTACTCTGGACCTGCCCTGGGCTGGCAGACAGGGAATATTCCAAGAGAACAGCAGGTTCTGGAGTCAGTGAGGAGTTCCTGCCTGTGCCTGCTCGAAAGTGGAGGAGCAAAGCACTTCCCATGGGTCAGACTGGTCAATGGGATGTTTATTTCCATAGCATCTGACAGGAGAAATCCCTGGACACAGCCCCAAGGCCATTCCCAGCTGTTCCTCAGCTCCAACCTGCTAGGAATGAACATACTCCAAGGGCAGAACAATCACAGGGGGAACAGAGACACAACATGAGCCTCAGAGCTGCTCACTCTGCAAATCAGCCCTTTAGCTTCTTATTCACCCAACAGAGTCAACACCACAGGGAATGAAATGCACCTTTTCATGACTTTAGGATTAGGAATCTGTTGGTCCAATGGGTTGAGGGTTCACCTGCTCCAAGTTCACTGCTCAGGTTCATTTATCACTTGCAGGATACTGTGATTTTGTCTCATTTCTTTTTCCCCCTAAAGTGACCTTTAATTCACCTCAGAAAGATTTGACCATTTAATATTGTTCTCTCTCAGTTATTTGGGAATTAGCTAATCCAAACCACAGATCTGTCTGCATGTTTTGAGGCCTGAAGGGTTTACAATGAACTAAAGCTCCTCAGCAAATCTCCACAAGAATTTCTCTGGCAGGAACTGTGAGTGGATCCCAGAGCTGGATTTCCAGGTGGGAAGCATCACTCAGCTCAGGGAACTGAAGCCCAGAGAGTGTCCCATAGCAGCTCTGCTCCCCCATGCTCTGTGTCCAAGGAACCCCCAGAACTCACCTGCAGGAGTTCTGTGAGCTTCCACCTGGGGAGAAGTTGCCTTTGCCAAGGTGAAGGCAGATTTAGGCTCCTCTGATGTATCTCCACAGGTTTCATCATCTTTCTGTAAACTCTCTATTCCTTCCCCTTCCTCCTCCTCCTCTTCTTCAGGCTCAGAGTTCTCTTCCTGGGAATTCTCTTCTTCAGAGTCTGCCTCTTGGCTCAAACGTCTCTCTGTTGCAAGCCAAGTGAGTTTCTCCATGGTCTCCTGAAAAAGCAACAAGAAAACAGCACATTTGAGACCTTTCAACCCACTTCATGATTCTTAACAGCCAATTTCACAGAGCAGCCCCTGCCCAACAGAGAGTTCCATCAGGGAACAGAATCCAACACCCCCCAGAGTTGCCTATTCTTGTGCAAAGTTCAGCCCATTGTGCCTTAAGTTAGATGGAATTCCTTAATGAGTCCTCAGTGAGCACCTTAGCTCTTAACGGCCTTTTGGAATTGTGACCTGGGAGATAATCCTCCCTTGAAGAGCTTCTCACTAAAGAACCTCCTTCCTGAGGAGCTCTGAGCAGCTCAGCAGGGTTTAAATCTGCAGATCTGCCATGTATTCCCTTAGTTTGGGCTTCAGATCTGCTCACACAAACGTGGTGTCCAACCTCACTGTGACCAGCACAAGGTCACACCAGTACAGATCTACCAGCTCAGCTTTCCATGGGAATTCCCACTGTGACTGGCCCTGACTCCACAGGAGGTTTTTGGACACTCAGTTGCCTTTAGAAAGACTTTGAAGGTTTTTGTTTGTCTTTACCTGAAGTTCTGGCACTGACAGAATAGATTCTTCTGAGGCCGATGACATTTCCTCATCCTCATCTTGGGTAAAATCATCAAAGTCATCTTCTTCCTCTTCTTCTTGCCCTTCCCTCTCTCCCCCAGCCTCAGGGCCAGCTGGTGTCCCCACGGACTGACCATCTATGCTGGATGAATCCTCTGGTCTTCCCAAGGGGCTGCTAAATTCTGCCTCAACATCTGCTGGGTAGGGAAGAGCCTTGGGAGACTCACTGCTCACTTGTCCAACAACCACACCTGCATCCACCTGCTGCTCCCCAGGGGGAGAGGACTGCAGAGCCCTCTGCTCCTCCTCTCCCTTCTCCTCACAGGGAACATGCTCCTTCTTCAGGTCATCCCCACAGGAACACGCAGCCTCCATGTTCAGCTCCTGGCCAAGGCCCAGCATGAACTCCTCCTTCTCTTCAGCACATAACAGATCTCTCTTCTGTCCTGGACTGACCTCCTTGAGAGCATCATTTGAATCTTCAGACTCAATTTTTGCTGGCTCATCCTGATCTTTTAAGTGAGGCAAGAGGTCCACGGGCAATGGCTCTGATGGGTTCTCCTCTCCTTCTCCCACTGCCCAGCTGCAGCAGTCACTCTTAGTCCCCTTTTCCTGGCTGCCCTCATGGGAAGGAGCAGGATTTGTGCCACAATCCTCCTCGGGGGACACAGCAGAGCAAGGAACAAACAGCTCTGGAGCCTCAGCCTTGGATTCTGCCATGGGATAGGCACAGCTGCTGTTCCCAGCAGGAACCAGGGTCAGTTGCTCCTCACTGTCACCAACAGAGGATGCAGAGAGGCCAACAGGGTTAGGAGAGACAATCAGTGAGGGGATGGAGGAGGTGACCAGAGGCTGATTCAGTGGACATGGGAAGGTGGATGGATTTACCAGCAGGGTTGTCACTGGAATGGCCTGAGTGCCTCTAGCCACTGTGGTGTTGATGGGTTGAATCATGTTGCAGCCATTGCCTATGTTCACCACCTTCACTGTGGTGGCAGGGACAGTGAGGATGACAGGGGATGGCTGGATCAGAGGGGAAGGCTTTATCAGGGGCACAGATTTGGTCCCTTTTTTCCTCTGGTAGCCTTTCCTCACACAAGGTTTCCGTGGCTTCGCTCCGGCCAGGGCTGGCAGCAGCAACCTGGGCTGAAAAGGCTCTGAGGACACCAGAGCTGGTGGTACAGCAGCTGGGAAAGCTTGTCTGGAGTCTGAAGGTGCAGTGGAGAGCACATTCTCCAAGTCCAAACCCTCCCCACCTCCCACCACTGGCACACTCAGAGGCTGCACCCCTGGAACTGGTGGCACCACCGGCGCTGGCTGGATGGGCCGAGGAACCTGTACCAGGACCTTGCTGGGAGGAGCTTCTGGCTGGGCCAACTTCACAGCCTTCTGCATGTTAACAGGACTGGGGTTGGGCTGCACACAAGGACTAGGCCGGATGAGGACAGGTTTCAGAGTCGAAGACCTCTGCCTCCTCCAGGCCTTCCTGGAGAACCTGTTGGCAAGAGGCTTTAGGGTGAGGACGAGTCCCTTGGGCATGAGCAGAGGGTATTTTTCATCATAGTCTTTATCTGAAGTTTCCTTTCCTGGTCCCAAAAGAGCAGATTCTGCATCAGGTGAACTTGACATCTCTTTGGCATCTTCTGCCAGCTGCTTCAGCTCAGCCTGGATGGAGGACAAGCTTGCCTGAAGGGAACAACAGTTCCATTAGTGCATTCCAAAGGCTGTTCCTGCATTCCCACCTTCCCACAGCACCACAGAAGGTGACAGACACCAACTGCCTTCTGCAGGTCAAGTGGTTATTCACTGTGTCCTGCTGTATGTTACTTTAGATCACCTGCAGTTCATGAGTTACACTGCAAAGCCTCTAAAAGGCTCTCTGAGAGCCTGAGAGATCCAACAGGACTGAACTGCTTCCCAAAGGACAAAACAGGACTAAATTGCTTTAGTGCACACAAGACTTTGGAGGAAGAAAACTTCCCCATGTGACAGGGGTGATCAGAACTGGATTTTATGGCATCTGAGCCCAGTTCTTTCCCCAGACACAGCTCCCTGGCTCATTCACAGGCATGGTCTCCATACCTACAGCCTCTTGGAGGAAACACAGGGAAAACCCATATGGACAGCCAAGGCAAAGCCTTGAGAAATGAACCCAACCAGTCCTGTGGTGGATGAGGAGCTGCAGCAGTACCTTCAGCCAGAAAGGCAGACGATGTTCCTCTCTCTCCACTGGTGGTTTCCACTCGTGGGGTTGGATTTCCTCACAGCACTTCATCAGGACAGGCAACTGCTTGGTCTTCTTGTAGTACTGAGTGGAAATAGGAGAGAATTGCAGACAAGGTGAATGTGGTCAGGTCACCTGTGCAGGAACTGCTGGGATGGAGGATAAGGATTGGGAAAGGGTTTGTGTGAATAAAGTCATTCTAACTGGGAGTCTCATAAGGTTTTACCCAGAGCTTTTTCCTGGGCAGGTGGTGAGACACTAGCACAGGTTGCCCCAGGGAGGTTGTAGATGCTCCAGGGAGGCTGTGGGTGTCCCAAGGAGGACGTGGGTCCCCCCAAGGAGAGGCTGTGGATGCCCCAACCCTGGCACTGTTCATTCCAGGCTGAATAAAGCCTTGAACAACCTGCTCTGGTGGGAGGTGTCCCTGCCCAGGGCAGGAGGTTGGCACTGGATGATCTCTAAGTTCTATCCCAACCCCTTCACATACTATGAAAAGGTCTTTCAGAAAAAATCCTCCAGCTAAAGGATGACATTTTATCTTAAGAGAGTGTCAGCACATGTATAAAAAGAGCCTTGGAAGAAGCAGCACAAGTCCCCTGCTGTAACAAACCCAGCCCAGGGCCCTTACCCTGATGATGTTGTCTGGAGCTCTGTTCATGTTGAGGTTCTTGATCCTTACTGTCAGCTGATGAGCAGTTTTTGTTGGCAGGAGATACTTGCTGATCAAAGGCTTTGGAAACTCTGTCCCTTCAAAATGCTTCAGACCTAAAGCCAACAAACTGAGCAAGAAAAGAAGGAAGGGAGAAGAGATGAGAAACCTTTCAGAGAGCAGGGCAGGTTGGGGTGTTGTTGGGGCCTGGCTAGCAGAGGGGCTGTAACCTGAGCAATGGTTAAAGGAATGCTTAAGCAATTAAAAACAAGACACACAAAACAGGTCTTGCTGACCTTGTTTCTATCTTCATGCATTCCTATGTTCTTCAATCCAACACCTTATAATGGTTTTGCTCTCTCCTGCTGCCAGGGTTTTTAGGTTTGGTTTTAGTTTTGCTGCCTTATACATAAGATAAGTCGTCTTGCTAACAAGCTGAGAATAGTGCTGTTGTTTAGGTTCTCATGGACACTGTGTAGCTCCTGTTATCAGTTTCCCAGGATGTGAGAACAGGTTGCAGCTTAAACTTGTAACCTACCATAAGTAAGAACTGTATGCATTGACAAGTGGAGCAACCAATCCAAAGTAGTGTGATCAGGTGTAGCTGCATGGATGGGAGATTTTATACTAGAAATACTGTTAGGTGCCCTAAATAAAGTTGGCTATCAGAGCATCATATTGGTGTGCTGGAGTCCGTTCCTCGCGAGCAACCTAACCTGCTCTGTGAGAGATGTCCCTGCCCAGGGCAGGACTAGATGATCTATTCCAACCCCTTCACACACTCTATGTGCCGTGGCACAGCTCTCCCCAAGCTTTGCACCCCAGAAATGCTCCTTAACCCAGCTCATTTGTAGACATTTTGATCAATAATTCCAAGCCCTTACTTGTCCTCTGCCTTGGTGAAGACAATCTTGTCCCGGGGAGGGTTTGGTCTCCCTGCCCAGGGCAGGACTAGATGATCTATTCCAACCCCTTCACACACTCTATGTGCCGTGGCACAGCTCTCCCCAAGCTTTGCACCCCAGAAATGCTCCTTAACCCAGCTCATTTGTAGACATTTTGATCAATAATTCCAAGCCCTTACTTGTCCTCTGCCTTGGTGAAGACAATCTTGTCCCGGGGAGGGTTTGGTCTCAAGGAACATATTGGCAGTAACTCTGGATACATAAAGACTCTTCTGGTTGCCAAAATCCAGGCCACTTGCTTTGGCAAGCAGGAAAATTCACTGGCTGTGGAAAGAATTAAGAGGGAAGGACAGATATGGACATGCATGAATGTTTTTCCCCAACTGACTTCTTGAAAACATTGTTCCCTTTATTCCCTTCCCAGCAAACAGAGACTTTCTTCCTGTCTTTTAGGATTTGTGTATTTCTTAGTTTTTGCTCCTAAGTTTACATCAGCAAAAGGTTAAATTCCTTTCCCCCAGAACGTTTTAGCCAGGTGGGATCAGGCTCTGCTCATAGGGAACAAGGGACAGGATGAGACACCATAGCCTCAAGCTACAACCAAGGGAGGTTTAGGTTGGACTTTAGGAAGAATTCCTGCCTGGAAAGGGTGATTAGACCCTGGATGTGCTGCCCAGGGAGGTGTTGGAGTCACCATCCCTGGGGGTGTTCAAGGAGATACTGGATGTGCTCTGATCTACTTGACAAGGTGCTGTCAGGTCACAGGTTGGGCTTGATGGTCTCAGAGGTCTTTGAATGATTCTGCAGCTGTGACTGGGCACAGACTGGGACAGGACACAGCCCTGAGCGTCTCTCCCCAGGAGCACCAGCTCCAGCCTTTGTGTGTCACTGCACCATGATTCAAGGGCTTCAAGGAGCCAGAGCCTGGGAATGTGCCCTGGGAAAAACTGGAGGTGAGCTGGGGAAGCAACTGATCTGACTGGGAGCGTGTGGGGGATCCTCAGGGCCCTGTTGGGTCACTCTGATGGGGTATTGGTGCCAGCAATGCCAATCTGAGGGTGCCAGTGGGACCCCCAGAGCAGCTCCAGGATGGTCAGGCTGGGATGGTTCCCTTAAGACAGAAACACGTCTCCCTGCTCATCCTTTTCCCCTCTCCATACCACTCTTCTTCACAGCTTTCCGAGGGCTCCAGTCGATTGGGACCTGGGCATGGAAGTCCTCGACGAGCTGCAGAGCTCCCTGAAGGTTACAGGGCTGGAACATGGTCTGGAACTTGGGGTTGAGGGACAGGTGGAGCAGAGTGGAGCTCCGGGCGAAGTTCCCCAGTTCATTCTGCAGACCAGACACAGAAAGAGGTCACAGAACAGTTCTTACCTTTACTGGGGAGAGAACAAACACATGGACTGTAATAATGCAATAAATTGTGCAAGAGGGCTCAGTTTGGAGCCTTACAAATCTAGGAACAGATTTACTCTGAGGGTGCTGAGGCACAGATTGCCCAAAGACTCTGTGGCTGCTCCATCCCTGGGAGTGTTTCAGGTCAGGTTGGATGGGCCCAGAGAAGCTCCTCCATCCCTGGGAGTGTTCCAGGCCAGGTTGGAGCAATCTGGACTAGTGGAAGGTGCCCCTGCCCATGGCAGGGGGTGGGATGAGATGATCTTTTAAGATCCTTCCAAGCCAAACCATTCCAGGATTCCATGTGCTGGTTTAGATTGGATATAAGGAAGAAATTCTTCCCCGTGACGGTGGTGAGACACTGGCACAGGTTAGCCCAAGGGAGGCTGTGGCTGCCCCAAGGAGGCTGCAGATGCCCTCAGGGAGGTTGTGGCTGCCCCAAGGAGGCTGTGGATGCCCCCAAGGAGAGGCTGTGGGTGCCCCAACCCTGTCACTGTTCACTCCAGGTTGGCTAAATCCTTGAGCAACCTACTCTGCTGGGAGATGTCCCTGCCCAGGGCAGGGGGTTGATACTGGATGATGTCTAAGCTCCATCTCAACCTCTTCACACACTCTGAAGCTCTGAGCTGATGCAGCTCAGGTTTGAGACACATCCTTACCAGAAACATCCTGGTGGTACTGGCCTCAGAGCTTAAAGCAGGGTTGAAACTTGCAAGGAGATGGATTTGTGTCAGAAGTTGTACATGCTTGAGGAATAAAATCAGACAAAAGGGTTTTTATAGCAGGTTAGTAATTCAATACCCTGGAAAGCAAAGGTTTAGAGGCATAGAAACATCTCTGAGCACCTCAAAAAATCCCTGCCTGCAAAAACTATTTTAAGGAACCAAAACTGAGGGGAAACTTGAAGATCCAGGGGAGGAATTAAGTCTTCAGGCACTTTTGTACCAAAGCCTCATACCAAAACCACCAACCCAGAACGGGTTTTCCTTTCTCAATAGCTATACTTACAGGTTATCTCTTTAGAAACAATGACTTGAGCCCTCAGATCTGCTCATCTGTACCCAAACCCCCCAAGAGTAATATTCTCAGCCAGAAATGAATAAGTTGGTGGAAGGAGGATTTGGAGAATCAGGATTCAAACACAGCCAAGGGACACATCTCACAGGAGAACACGCCAACAACTAAGCTCTGCTACACATTCAACCCCAACTGTCTTGGGTGTGACCATCACCTAACAGAGCTCCAGGTGCAGTTAATTCCCTGCAGGAATCACACCAAGTCTGGCAGTGCCCTTGGCTTTCCCTGCCCACACCACACACATCAGCTCAGCCCAGACAACATTTTCCCACCTGCTGCATTTGCTGCTGGAGCCTCTTTCTTTGTGCACTGTCCAGGACAAGACTCTGGAGAGGTTTCTCATTCTGAGGCTTTAATTTTTCAGCCTCCTGTGGTGGTTTGATTGAAGACTTCTTCATCCTCAGCTGTTCCAGTTGCTCTTTCACTGTTCGGTGCTGCTCGTTCAGCAAATTAGCCAAAGGTTCCTCAAACCTGTTTGAAACAGCCAGAGCAAAGTATGATAACCAGATGGTTTCCTAACCATCCACAGGGATTTTGAGCACTTCACTGGGATGCTCAGTTCAGGGAGTATCAACTCCCAGTGCTACTCACCACTGTCACTCTACTCCAGCCTGAAAAACCTGAGTTGTTGGCACAGTTGGCTACAAAAAAAGTAATTTATTCCACCCCAGTAATGCTCCAACTCCTTATTCCAAGGACAGGGAACACTTCTGCCCACAATTCTGTGCTCCACTCATGTGCTTGGATACTCTCCAGAGCAGTCAGGGCCTAAACCAACCTAAAATACATCACCCAATCCCATTTCACTTGTAGCATCAGCAAGGACTGAGGCCAAGGGGTTTTGGGTGGCACTGGAGCTTGTCCAGAAAGATCCAACACTGCCTCAAATCCTGTGGCTTCATCGAAAAAATAAATCCATTCAGTATTTGAGTTCAGAATAGACTGATGATGTCAATATTGTGGAGTATTTGAGTGCTGAATTGACTGATAATATGCTAATACTTTTTTAACTGAGGTAAGAATTAACTGGGAATAAGGTTAATGTTTTAATTGAGTAACAGAGTTAAGAATAGACTGATAATCAGAGAATCAACTAGGTTGGAAAAAACCTCCAAGATCATCAAGTCCAGCCCTACTGTGGTCACTGGACCACGGCACTAAGTGCCACATCCAGTCTCATCTCACAAACCTCCAGGGATGGTGAATCCACCACCTCCCTGGGCAGCACATTCCAATGCCTGAGCACTCTCTCCATAAAAAAATCTCTTCCTAATACCCAACCTAACCCTCCCCTGGCAGAGCTGAGTCTGTGCCATCTTGTTCTGCTGCTGTTACCTGGGGGAAGAGACCAACCCCCACCTGACTCCCACCTCCTGGCAGGGAGTTGCAGAGGGTGCTAAGGTCTCCCCTGAGCCTCCTCTACTCCAAGTGAACACCCCCAGCTCCCTCAGCCTCTCCTCATGGCACTTGTGCTCCAGACCCTTCCCCAGCCTCGGCGCTCCTCTCTGGACCTGCTCCAGCACCTCAGTGTCCCTCCTGAGCTGAGTGGCCCAGAACTGAGCACAGGATTCCAGGTGTGGCAATAAATCCAACACATATTCTGCCTCAAAACACCTCTAAGAATCTTCTATGCAGCTAAAACCAGGGAAGAAACAAGTGGGACAAGTGTCCACCAAGGAGGAATGAATTAAACTACCCAATATCAAAGCCAAATGCACAGAGAGAGAGTAAGAGAGAACACAGAGCTGCTTTGCTTTTAGTCTGTAGCTGGGTAAGAGGTGCTGCACTCCCCTCTGGCACTGCTCATCCCAGAGGGAGCATCCAGGAACTCCAGCCTTCACTTTAGCTCCTTTCCCAAACAGACACAGCTTCATCTGGAGCTGATCTGCCCCATGAACAAGGAGACACCACTCACACTGCAGTTCCCCTGAGCCAGTGGTTGCAGCTGGTTAAATACAGTGGAATTGTTACCTAGACAGAAATCATGGAGTCATGGAATGGTTTGGGTTGAGACCTTATGGATTACTCAGTTCCACCCCGTGCCATGGGCAGGGACACCTTCCACCAGCCCAGGTTGCTCCTAGCTATGTCCAGCCTGGCCTGGAACAATACCAGGGACGAAGTTATTAGAGTTGCTACTGATTTTTTACTGCTATGACCATAAACAAATAGACTGTTCAGGGGTTGGGATGGAGCTTAGGGATCATCCAATCCCAACCTCCTGCCCTGGGCAGGGACATCTCCCACCAGAACAGGTTGTTCAAGGCTCTATCCAGCCTGGAATGAACAGTGACAGGGTTGGGACATCCACAGCCCCCTTGGGTAACCTGTGCCAGTGTCTCACCACCCTCCCAGGGAAAAACTTCTTCCTAATATCCAATCTAAATTCTCCTCCCTCAATTTCTCCCCATTACTCCTTGTCCTGTCCCTGCAGTTCCTACCCAAGTCCCTCTGCAGCTTCCCTGGAGTCCCTTCAGCTCCTGCTGGTTGTTCTGAGGTCTCCACACAACCTTCTCTCCAGGCTCAACAGCCCCAACTCTCCCAGCCTGCTGCCCCTTACCTAAGTGCCTGGGGGGTATTGAAGTTTGGTCGAGACTCTGTGACATTATCTTCATCTTCTGGACCTTCATCTTCCATGTTGGAGAAACCCATTTCATCCTGGAACTGACAGCAAACATGGAACACCAGTCAGGAGTGGAAAGTTCAGGGAGGACATTCACCACCATCCTTAGCTGATACAGCTCATGGTGATTGTCTCAGCACAGACATTCACCTCTGCAGGGACTTAGGGAAGTTCCTGCAGAATATTCTTCCCAAAGGGCTAGGAATGATCCTTATGGCAAAGCCCTTGGCACACTGAGCATTTACAGAGCCCCTTGGTGGCTTCTCAGCATTCATGTTACACCTGACAGCACTTACTGTCTCAAACAGCTCCTCCATCAGTTCATTCACTTCCTTTTCTGCAAGGAAAAAAAAAATAAAAAAAAAAAAAAAATCAAAGAGAAGCATGAAGATTCTTCTCCCAGGAAAACCCTCAGCAATCCTGTCATAACATCATGTCATGTAAGGAATTGATCTCCCAAAGGGAAACTTTCCTCTTGCAAAGGGAGGACCAAGAAGAAAAGGCCCCTAGTAATTCCCTTGTCAAAGCTGAGCTCAAAAAACCTTTAGCTGAGATGGTTTTGATTCCAAAATATCATAAACACCTCATTGTCACAATTAAATTTAAAGCCTGGAATAAGAACTCAACCAAGTGTGGTTTGTTCCAAAGGAAAAAGAGATATGTTTATCAAACTAAGCTGAAGACTGGGAGGACTTAAGGGTAATTTAATCCTAATCCAGGGGTCTGAACTGGCTGAGGTTCTGACAGAGCTGCTGCTCCTCAGCCTTTGCCATGGAGTGAAGCTGCAGCTGAGAGCACAGCAGCTCTGCCCAGATCCCTCCACCCACTCCCAGAGAGCCAAAAGCTGCTCAGCTCAGCAGATCTGACTTTAATCACCCTCCACAGGCAACAAAACCCTTTCCCACATGACTCCCTCATCCTCCCAAGAAAGGAGGTGAATCAAGCACTCACTGGTGATCCTCACAGCTCGATCATTCCTGAAGTCTTCTGTGTCAGGTTCATCCAGATCTTCCAGGAAGTTGTACTCAGGATCATCATCATCATCTGCTTCATCTGAGAAGGAACAGGTGTAGAAATGTCATTACCTGCCCCAAGGCTAAGTGTTTGGCAGGTGCAGAAGTAATTTGAGGGTCAATGAGGCTCAGTGCTGGTTCTGCACTTGGGACACAACAACCCCCCAGGGAATCACCTCTTCCACCTGCTGCTCATGCTGTGGGATGAGCCCAGCACAGGAGAAGGTTCTGGACTGGGTCACATCCAACCTCTCACCCACATCACTCCAAACCCTTCTCCCAGAGTGCTGCTCTCCATGTGCTCCCCCCAGCCCGGATTGGTACCGGGATCACCCCAATTTCGGGGCAGCACCAGCACTTGGGCTCAACCACCACATAACCCCAAAATCCTCTGGAGCAACTGCCACAAACCTTCATTCTCCACATCATCGTTCATCAGCCCCCCAAGCCACCTCTTCCACTCCTCATCATCCGCAGTGTTGGGGTCATACATGTCAGGGGTGATGTCTGGGGCTCGCAGCTCTGCCTCCAGCTGCCCCAGGGGCACATCCTTCAGGGGCCTCTTGGACCTTGTCCTGAAGGCAATCAGACTGTCCTCCAGGGGCTGCAAGGGGAGGCCAAAGCACATTGTAACCACCAATCTCTGCTTTTCCTGGGGCTCTCAGCCCAGCCAGGCAAGGCCAACACTTACAAATTATTACAACTCATTATTCCTTACAAGTATTAGATTCCTGCCACAAAGAACCATGGATTTGGTTCTCTGAGAAAGCTAAACTGTCACTCTTCTCCCTCTTAAACTGCTATTCCTTACAGATACATTGCTATTCACTTAGCATCTCCTGCTAAATTTATCTGCCACCAAGGAAGGAATTTCCACTTGCAATATTTGGTTCTTCCATGTGGGTTTGACTATGTTTTGCTTCTTCACAGCCCGAAATGAATCTGGAGCAGCAGCACAGGACTGTCCTTCACCTCACCCTTGCACAGAGCAGCAAAGCTTTTCTCCTCACTTATCTGAGACAGAGATTCTCCTGACAACCCATTCCTCAGCTGCTCACAGTAAAAACTGCCTGCAGAACACAACTAAGGCTACAGGAGAACTTGCAGAAGGAAAACTCTTCTCATTAGCTCTGTGAATGTCAGAGAGTCACATTTAAGAGCCAAAACAAAGGCAGGGACTTATGAGCAAAAACACAAAGTGCAATTAGTGATGTAAAGGTCAGAGTGAGATTTAACAGTCAAAATAAAGGCAGAGGTTTATGAGCATAAACACAAAGTGCAGTGAAAAGAAACTAAACTCTGTGTCACCAACAACATTCCTAACAGGAATGTGTCCTACACACTATGGAGATTCAGTTGTATGGAATCAAAGACTCAGAGGAGAATGGTTTGGGTTGGAAAAGATCTTACAGATCATCCAGTCCCACCTCCTGCCCTGGTCAGGGTGACCTTCTTCTAGCCCAGGGACAACCTCCCCCCAGAGCCCAGGGACAACCTTCCCCCAGAGCCCAGGGACAACCTCCCCCAGCTCAGGTAGCTCAGAGCTCCATTTAAAGCCCCAGAAGGAGAGTAAAAAGCAACAAGAGCAGCAGAAAATCACCTCCTTCCTACCCAATTCAATCCCCCAGTGTCCCAGCCTCCCTCAAACCATACCTGGTAGGAGTCCATGCAGACAGGACTTGAGGCCAACTCTTCATCCACTGCATGCAGCTTCTCCATGAAGGTGCTGTCTTTGGTTTGCTTTGGTTTAGGAGGTGGAGGAGGTCCCATGGGAACAACTTCAGCGCTAATATGTCGAACAACAGGTGGAGTGACCTTCTCCATCTAATTAAAAAAGGCCTTTGTGTTAAAAGGGTTTGTTTAGAACATAAATTTCCAAGGACAGAATCTTTTTTTTTTTCCTGCTGGACCAGAGTGTGGCCCAGCAGAAAGGGGAGAAAGGCTTCACAGAAGGAAATACTCTTCATATCACACTCACTGTGGCTTGCAGAAAATACAGAGCAACATCAACACTTGCTGCAAGGAGATATTTGGGAGGTTTGAGCATCAGTCTCAACATTACTAGAGCAGCTAAGCCTGAGCACCAGTTATTGTGGCACAATCTTCCCCAGAAACCAACTACTGGCGAGTGGAAAGTGGGAATATCAACACCATGATTGCTCTTTCTGATTCCAGAGTCACTTCTCAGGTGATTTCCTGCTCTTGTCTGCTGATCCTTGGCCCCCACACTACATCTACTACTCCCAGACTTGCCAGTGTACAAAGACACCACAAACACCTTCCTGATCTCATCACACTCAGGAGGAACAGCCAATTGTTCCCATTCCCAGTGCTTTAAGTGCTTGTTTTCCACTCAGCCCTTCCTGCAGGAGCAGGACCCTAAAGCCAAGCAGTACCTGGAATGGCCTCACAGCTCTAAGCAATAACATGTATTTTTGCTTATTAATAAATTAGGATCAAGGCCTGAAGGTTGTTTGCAAAGAAAGCAAAACCAAAACTGCCTGGCCAGTTTACCTCACAGTGTGTCCCTCCCTCCTCCTCAGAGGACCTCCTTGTCCTGGACCTCTTGGCTCCACGAGGGGAAGAAGCAGTGCTCTCCACATCACTTTCCAGCAAACTCTACAGGGCAAAGAGATGCAAAATTACTCTCAGACAATCCAGCACTTCTTCAACTCATGTCCCAAAGGCTCTTTCTTTAGCCAAATGAATAATAGAGCATTGAAAAAAAAAAAAAAAAGGTGATTAGAAGGTGTGGAATGACCTGCAAATGTGTTCATGTGTTAAACTAGAGTGTTCTGCCTCAGCTCTGTGCTGGACAGACCTTTGTATGAGCTGTATTTACCTCTTCTGCTGTCTCATCTTCATCCTCATCCTCAGGCTGGTATTCTTCATCAGATGAATCATCTTCCTCCAGAGGAATGTCCACAAACTGAGGTGGCTGCAGCACAAGAGAAGAGAGGTGACAGCTTGAGAGGATGAAGAACTGCACTGCCATGGCACACGATGGTGGTACCAAGATTTCTAACATCCTGAGGCTCAGAAAGGAAGGACAGCACTGGAAAAGGTACAGGAACCAAGAAAAGACTTAACAGATTGGTAGATCTGAAAAGAGGCAAGAACAGGCACAAGTGGTTCAGCACTTCTCTGGTGGAAACACTCAGGAGCAGACACCACCTCAGAGATGTTTCCAGCACTCACATGGCCACTCAGAGCTGCTGGGTCCTGCCCACACCTGGCTGACAAAGCTTGTTGAGCAGGCAGAGCTCGGGAACAAGCACCTGAGACCCACACTCTGCTTCCAGGCAGCCCCACAGGGTGTGAATCCCAAGGAAGCACCTGCAGCATGAGGCCTGGGCAAGTGGCAATCACTGCCAGGAGCTCCATCCAGGCAGAGGCTGCTGCAGTGCCAAGGTGGGAAGATGGACCAGGCAGGAGAAAGGACATGGCATCACGTCCCCAGGTTCTGGCTGCCCCTGAAGGAAGCTCTGTTGGGCACGTTGAGCACCTTCTGCCAGGTCACCTGCCCTGTCCTGCCTTCTGGACCATGGTCAATGCTCCTGGTCACTCCTTGCTCCACCTCTCCAAGACACCTCTGGCTCAGCAGGATGTCTCTACTACAGTCTCCCCTTGCCCAGCAGCAGTTCACTCACCTTCACCTCATTTGCCTTCTTAATTGGGGAGATATTCCAGGTAGGAATCACCTAGGGAGAGCACAAACACTTGAACTGTTACAAAAAATCACAGCTTGGACAAACTATTACATCGAAACAGCACTTGAGGCCTTGATCTCCAAGCAACAACAGAGCTCAAAGGCTTCAAACCACCTGTGGGATCTGTCCAGGCAGTGACCTGAGGACAGTGGACACTGCCAGTTCCCTCACCCTGTGCTGCTCATCTCAGCTGAATCTTTTTTCACACTGTCGTAACCGATTTGGTTTCATTCCAAGACTCAATCACAGCAAGGCTTTGCACTTCTTTCAGAAGGCACAACCAAACCCACTCAGGCAGGGACAGGGTGCAAGAGTAAAGCAGATGATGTACTCACCACTCCTTTCTCCACAACCTCCTTCAGTTTGGAACGAGTCATTTTGGGCTCCTGAGAGTTCAAAACAAGACAACAGCAACTGCTCAGCTATTTGACTTAACTACAGAATTTCCCCAGCAACTTTTTCACTTTCCTCTTGGTTCAATTCATTACCTCTAAATTCATTTCCTCCCAGACAGGACTGGAGTAATCTCACCAATAACTCCTCATGGTTCTGTTTCCTCCTTTACACTCCCACACAGACACTACTCACTCCACCCACGTGGCCAATCTGGCAATGCAACCTAATTATTCTAACAAGTAAATTACCTAATCTACCCTAACTGTTTCCGTAGTCCACGGTGGCCCAAGAAGAGCCACTGGTTGAGGCCTTGTGCATTTGGAACCACTGGAAAACCAAAGTGAAGAAGCTTTTGACTTACAAACAAAGGAATATCTTCTGTCTCACTGATTGCTGCTTTCATCATGGCCACCACGTGCTCATTGGTGATCACCTCCTGCAGGGACACACAAAAAAGGCTCTTGTACCCTGTTTGGGGGGATTGACAGGGATTGGGAGCAACACCTCCCACCAAACCAAAGTCCAAGGGACTGACAGGGATTGAGATCAACACCTTTCACCAAAGCAGGATCCAGGGGACTGATATGGATTGGGATCAACACCTCCCATCAAACCAGGATCCAGGAGACTGACATGGATTGGGATCAACACCTCCCACCAAAGCAGGTGATTGACAGGGATTGGGATCAAAACCTCCCACCAAGACAAGGTCCAAGGGACTGATATGGATTGGGATCAACACCTCCCATCAAAACAAGGTCCAGGTGACCGACAGGGATTGGGATCAACACCTCCTACCAAAACAAAGTCCAGGGGACTGACAGGGACACTCCATGATTCTCCCTTTACAGATCTAACAGCAGGGATCAGGATGTAGGTGCCCAATCTCCCACATTCTCAATTCCAAGTACTACACCAGTACCCATAAGTCTGGCCTGGAGTCCTTTCTGGCTCCTGGCCCAGTCCCCACACTCACATGGAGGATGTTCCTCACATTGACCACAGTCAGGTTATGCTGCTTAGCTCCATCCTCCAAGGTACGATCCAGGGTGTCATCCAGCTTGATGTCACAGGACAGAGATCCTTCTTCTTCCTCCTCTTGGCTTTTCCCTTCTCTTTTCCTTTTGGTTGCCTTCCTCCTCCTTTTCCTTCTCTCACTATCCTCTCCATCCTGCTCCTCTGAAACCAGCAGAAATGGGATCTCAAAATTCAGCTGTGTCACATCCAACACATTCTGACAAGTAAAAACCCAAACAAACTGGAATTCTGCAGTGACTGAAGCAGCAAAACTTCCAACAAGCTGCTGGGACATCACCCACATGGAAAGAGCCATAAGAACTAGGAAGTCTTTAGAATGATGGATTCCAGCTCTGCAGGACCTGAGTCACATCACTGGAGCACATTAAGGTCATGCAGTTGCCACCTCCAGTAGTTTGATTTTCCAGAATGGTCTCAGCAGCATTTTTACACCTTTTCCAGAGAAAAAGCTGCAAAATTCCAGGCCCTACAGAGCAAGAACAGGTTCCAGCTTCCAGGATTTAAGTGTTTCCCAAGTGCCACTGCTTTGCTGCCTCAGGGCAACAAGAATCATAACTTTCTTTGATGGAAAACTGGTTTCAGCAGCCAAAAATGACAGAGTTCAACTGCAGCAAATTCCACTTGGACACCAGAGGAGTTTATTGAGCCACTGGAATACAGAGCAAGGCTGAAAACCCACAAGAAAACCTTGGACCTGAGTAGCCCCTGCTGTGGTGGACACAATTCTAGAAGCTGCTGCATCAAGCCACAACTTGCTACTTGCACAATGGAACAAACAGCCCCCAAATCTCAGTTTTCCATGTGCAGGAATCACTCACCAGCTCTGGTGCTCTTCAGTAGCTTCACCACAGGAGGATTCCTACCAGGCAGCTGGAGAGTGCTCCTCACTGCAGACTCCAACCCTGCACAGGGAATTTCCATGGGGTATGGATCTCGCTGTGAACTCACTTCCACCTCTGTGTACAGCTTAGGGATCTTCCCTGGAAAAACACACACACATCACACCGCAAGCCAGAGAGACCTCAGGGATACAGCAGAGCCAAGATACCAAGGGAAGGGAGGGTACAAAAGCACATCATGACCTGTTCAAAAGTCTAATTTAGCCTGTGGAAGTGATCCACAGGGACTGAGCACTGCAGTAGCTCCATCCTGCTGGAAACACACAGGCAAAGAGATTCCCATTCCAGCTATTTCCTCCTCACTCCCTCCACTATCAGTTTTGCACAGCCACACTCAAACCCAAACTGATGAGCTGGTCGAAACGTGATTGGAGTCCCTCAACAGGGACAATCCAACTGCTACAACAGCAGGCAGAGCCAGGAGGCATTCCCAGCTGGAACAGCACAGCTGGCTGCAGCCTCAGGATATGTTCCAGACCCATCTGGACACTCCTTTCAACCCCTGCTAACAGACAGGGACACCTTTCACCAGCCCAGGATGCTCCAAGCCTCATCCAACCTGGCCCGGAACACTCCCAGGGATGGAGCAGCCACAGCTGCTTTGGGAAAGCTATTCCAGTGTCTCAGCATCCTCACAGGGAGGAATTGCTTCCCAATACCCCATCTCTCACTGCCCTCTGGCAGTGGGAAGCCATTCCCTGTGTCCTGCCACTCCAGGCCCTTGTCAATAGTCTCTCTCCGTGATTTTTGTAGCTCCTTCAGGCACTGAAGGCCACAATGAGGTCAACCCAGAGCCTTCTCCAGGCTGAACAATCCCAACTCTCTCAGCCTTTCCTCCCAGCAGAGCTGCTCCATACTCAGGGAAGTTCTGGGCAGCATTCAGGGAGGTTCTGGGCAGCAGTGTGTAGTCAGAGGAGCTTATAGTGGCTATTAAACCACAGCTAAAACCTGAAGTCTCACGAGCACCTTTGGGCTGAGTGGGCACACACTGTGCCCAGCACAAGTGACACTGAGCTGGCACAGTCACTTGTGCAGCTGCACAGAAAAACCAGAGCAGGGACTTGATCCAGCTGGAGGAAAAAAAAAAAAACCCTCACACTGCCCACACAGCTTCACTCTTTGAAGCAGATCAGTGCTCCAAATCGCTGAGCTCAGAGACAAAGATATAAGCCTGGGGGAAAAAATAGGATGGGGAATGTGAGGAAAGAGGGACTTCTTTCAGGAGATATTTCACTTGTTTTGTCTCCCTCACCAGCTGACACATCACACCTCCCCTGAGTGAAGCAGAGGTCATTTCACAAGCTTCCAAAATTCACTGTGCTCCACAACTCATCTCTAACCTGGTACGAAGACAAGTTCTCCTTGCACCAGCTCTAGCAAAGGATCATTTGCTGGGTGCTTGGAGGAATCACCTCCTGAGAAGGACCTAAAAGCTCTGAAAACACAATTTTTGGAAGCAGCAGTTTGTACTTCCAGCAGTCTCACAACTCACTGGCCAAAGTATAAACATGTAGAGATAACTTCTAGGTAAAAACACAAGGTGACTGCTCCAAATCAAAGCCTGGATTTTCACACAGCCTTGTGTAAAGCTGAGCTGAAATAACATCTGCACTGTGTCAAACCTGTCTGGTGTATTTGAAGATTACTGGGAGGAGAAATCACTACTGCATCCACCAAAGATTAAACACAGGGGAGCAAGGACTGGGAAAATACGGGCAAGGTTACAATACTGAGTATTTCATAGCATCATGGAATGGTTTGGGTTGGAAAGACCTTAAGGATCATCTCAATCCCATCACTGTCACGAGCAGGGAGAACTTCCACCAGCCCAGATTGCTCCAAGCCTTGTCCAACGTGGCCTGGAACACTTCCAGCTTCTCTGGGCAACCTGTGTCAGTGTCTCACCACCCTCACAGGGAACAATCCCCTCCTAATATCCAATCTAAAAGCCTGAAACCACTTTCCCTTGTCCTGTCACTTCAGCCCCTGTAAAAAGTCACTTTCCCTCTTTTTGGAAGTCCATTAAGTACTGGAAGGCCACGATGAAGTGGGAAATTTGAAACTTTTTAAGCTGGAACTCTGAAAAAGCAGCTGCTCTGGGATCAAGCAACTTCTACACTCCAGCAATTCCCTAAACTTTTAAGGGAAGAAACCCCACAAACCGTGAGAAATGAGCCTATTTTCATGCTAATTCCGACTTCAAACCCAAACCAAAGCCCCAACCACGACCTTCTCTCTCCCCCTCCGCGCGGTACCTTCCGTGGGGCTGCCAGGGGGTCTCCCCCCGCCCTTCGGGGAGCTC